ATTAGTGATGTTAAGCATTTTTTTTTCTTTTTTTTTTTAATTTATTTTTTATTATTATTATACTTTAAGTTCTAGGGTACATGTGCATAACGTGCAGGTTTGTTACATATGTATACTTGTGTCATGTTGCTGTGCTGCACCCATGCATTTTTTTAATATACCTTTTGAGAAATGTCTATTTAGGTCCTTTGTCCACTTTTTAATTGGGTGTTTTTTATTATTGATATTGAGTTGAGTTCCTTATATATTTTGGATCCTAGCCCCTTTTATGGTTTGCAAATATTTTCTCCCATTCCATAGATTGTCTTTTCAGTCTGTTGAGTGTTTCCTTAGCTATGCAAAAGCTTTTTAGTTGATGTAAGCCCATGTTTTTATTTTTCCTTTCATTGCCTGTGCTTTTGGGGTCATATTTTAAAAACCATTGCCTAGACCAAGGATAACATTTTCTTGAGAGTAGTGTTCTCACTAAGCCAGAATGGTCTTTTCTAATTCCTATTACCTATTAATTGGAATAGGTGTACAAGGCAACTTGAGTAGAATTGGTATGCTATGAGATAGTTTTGAAACCTCTTAAAATACAGTCATGTGCTGCAAAACAGCGTTTTTCCATCAATGATGGACCATATATACAGTGGTGGTCCTGTAAGATTATAATGGAGCTGAAAATTCCTATCACCAAGTGACATCACAGCAGTCATAATGTCATAGCACAATACATTACTCACATGTTTGTGGTGATGCTGGTATAAACAAACCTACTGTGTTGCCAGTGGTCTAAAAGTATAGCATATACAATTATGCACAATATATAATACTTGATAATGACAAAAATGACACTTCTGGTTTATGAAATTTACTACACTATTCTTTGAAATCATTATTTTAGAGTGCTCTTCTTCTACTTATTTTTTTTAAATAACTATAAAGCAGCTTCAGTAAGGTCCTTCAGGAGGTATTCCAAAAAACACAGGCATTGTCATTGTAGGAGATGAGAGCTCCATGTATGTTATTGTTGCCCCTGAAGACCTTCCAGTGGGACAAGAAGTAGAGGTAGAATACAGTGACATTGATGATTCTGTGTGTTGTATCTTAGTTTTTAGCAAGAAAGTTTAAAAAGAAAAACAAAAATCCTTAAAAATAGAAAAAAGCTTCTAGAGTAAGGTATAAGGAAAATATTTTGTACAGCTGTATAATGTGTTTGTGTTTTAAACTAAGTGTTCTTACAAGAGTCAAAAAATTAAAAATTAAAAAGTTTAGAAAGTAAGAAGTAATAGTAATCTACGGTTAATTTATTATTCAAAAAAGAAAATGGCCAGGAGTGGTGGCTCACACCTGTAATCCCAGCATTTTGGGAGGCTAAGGTGGAGAGAATCACCTGAGGTCAGTAGTTCGAGAGCAGCCTGGCCAGCATGGCAAAACCCCGTCTCTACTAAAAATACAAAAATTAGCCGAACATAGTGGCAGCTGCCTGTAATTCCACCTACTTGGGAGGCTGAGGCTGCAGTGAGCTGAGATCACGTCACTGCACTCCAGCCTGGCCAACAGAGTGAGACTCAATCTCAAAAAAAAAAAAGAAGAAAAGAAAAGAAAAATATTTTTATAAACATACTATAGCCTAAGTGTCTAGTGTTTATGAAGTCTAGAGCAGTGTTTAATGTCCTAGGCCTTCACATTCACTCACCACCCACTCACTCACTGACTCACACAGAGCAGCTTTCAGTCCTGCAAGCTCCATTTATGGTAAATGCCCTATACTGTGAACCATTTTTGATCTTTTATACCATATTTTTACTGTACCTTTTCTGTGTTTATATACACAAATACTTACCACTATGTTACTATTGCCTGCAATATCCAGGACAGTAAAATGGTATACAAGTTGTAGCCCAGAAGCAGTAGCTACACCATATAGCCTCGGTTTGCAGTAGTCTATACGATCCAGGTTTGTGCAGGTGCGCCCTGTGTTGTTTGTGCAATGATGAAATCGCCTAATGCATTTTTCAGAATGTGTCCCTGACTGTACATTTAAAACAGGCATCATATCAGGTCTGTATTTCTGTCAAGCCTGATGACTGCTTGGAGGTGCCTCTGTCCCTGGCTGCCTTGGAGTTGAACATGCTAACAATAAAGCACTTTTTCAGAGTTGCTCTAACATTAGGTGTATTTCTTATGCATTTGGTGAGACATATTTGCAGTGGGTGGTGAGCGTTCGTTCAAGACAGTAGAAATATGTCCATCAACCTTCTTTTTACCTGTTCTCACGACTGTAATTGAGGTGAAGATGTCTTAAGTATTCAGCTATGGCAGCAATTTCTGCAGTGTTACTGATTTATCAGCACAGAAGGACTTAAAAAAAATTTTTTGAGCCTTGCCCAAATGAGGCTATGGACTATAAAATGTCAAAAATGTATCATGGCATTGTCTTAGTCCTCTCAAGCTGCTAGAACAAAACACCTTAGACTGGGTGGCTTATAAACAACAGATATTAATTCTCAGAGTTCTGGAAGCTGCGAAGTCCAAGATTAAGCTACCAGAAGATTTGGTGTCTGGTGAGGGCCCTGTTCCAGTTCATAGATAGTCATCTTTTCAGTGCCCTTACAGAGAAAGGGGCAAAGGGTCTGTTTCGGGCCTCTTTTATAAGGGCATTAATCTCACTGATGAGGGCTCTGCCCTCATGATCTAATCACCTCCCAAGGGCCCCACCTCCTAATACCATCACCTTAGGAGTGAGGATTTCAACATATGGATTCATGGGAGAATAAACAACCAGGCCATTGCAGGCATCTAGTTTCTCCTTACATAGATATATTGGCCTAGGTGCTAACAACGGCAACATGATCTCTTGACTGAGCTTCTCAATGTCCAGGACTGACCTTACAAGTTCTCATTATTAAATATTTAATGTGGCCAGGCACCAATCCCGTGCATCCACTCCACCCTCATGGAACAATCTTCACAGCTCTGTGAGGAGCACACTGTCATTACCCCATTGCACACAGTTGGAAAGAGGCAGACCCAGCACTCTTGCTGAGCCTGAGGGCTCCTGGACAATTCAGGAGAGAAAGAATAGTGGGTACTAGGCACAAGTGGGCATAAAAGAAATTGAGGTCACTTTGCTGAGATATTTGGCCCTGCAGAAGAGAGAACAGTGAAGCGTTTGTGCCTCTCCACTTCTGCCCAAGATATGAGAGAAATAATTTTAAAGACACAGATAAGAAAGGGAGTAATTTTAGGATGCTATAAATAGAGACACAGTCAGTTCTCCTAAAGGCATGAAGGAATGGAATCAAGGAAGAAGGCAATGCAGGGAAAGAGGAGACCTCTATTCCTTTACCAACACACGCAAAGATAAACATAGATGCCAATACAATGCTAATAGCTCCAGGGCCCATATTTTCTGTGTCTTACTAAACTTTTGATAAATGTATGTTGTACTGATTAAAATCACAAGCTCGTAAATTAAACACTGGTTTATATTCCAGCTCACTGAGTGAACTTGATCAGGTTATTTAGCCTCTGTGAGCCTAAGTTCCCTGTATGAAAGTAGAAATAATAGTAGTATAAGAGTAGCTTATGGCCGGGCGCAGTGGCTCAGCCCTGTAATCCCAGCACTTTGGGAGGCCGAGGAGGGCAGATCACGAGGTCAGGAGATCGAGACCAGCCTGGCTAACATGGTGAAACCCCAGCTCTACTAAAACCACAAAAAATTAGCCAGGCGTGGTGGCGGGCGCCTGTAGTCCCAGCTACTCGGAAGGCTGAAGCAGGAGAATGGCATGAACCTGGAAGGCGGAGCTTGCAGTGAGCCGAGTTCGCACCACTGCACTCCAGCCTGGGTGACAGAGCGAGACTCCGTAACAAAAAAAAAAAAAAAAAGAGAGAGAGAAAGAAAAGAGTAGCTTACCTGCCCATCAGTGCATGAGAGGATAAACAACTGTGATATATACATACAATAGACTACTATTCAGCCGTAAAAAAGGAAGTACCAATACACGATAGAACATGAAGAACCTCAAAAACATATGTGAAGGGAAAAATGCCAGACACAAAAGTCGAGACTAGGTAAATCCACAGAGACAGGAAGCAGGAACAGAGGGAGAGGGGAATGAGAATCAACTGTTGTATGGGGTTTCCTTCTCGAATGATGAAAATATTCTGGAACGAGATAGTGGGGATGATTGTACAACACAGTAAATGTATTAAATGTCTCTTATTTTCTTCACTATAAAATGGTTACTTTTATGTGAATTTCACCTCATTCAAAAATTAGTAGCTTATAGAACAGTTCTGAGGACCCAGTGGGTAAAAAATCTCTGTGAAACAGCATGCCCAGAATATGATAAGCACCCAATAAAGGACTCCACAAAATTATCTGTTGATAATATTGCCCCTTATATTATTCTTTCAGCTTTTTTCCCCTAGCAATGTCAGTCTGTTTGTGTGTGTGTGATTTGATCATGCTGGCGGATTTCTTTATTGTACAGTCATCACAATAGTGAGTGAGTTCTCACAAGATATGGTTGTTTAAAGTGTGTGGCACCTCCGCTCCCGCTCTCTTCCTCCCGCTCCAGCCATGTGAAATGCTTGCTGCTCCTTTGCCTTCCATCATGATTGTAAGTTTCCCAAGGTCTCCCCAGAAGCCGAGCAGATGCCAGCATCATGCTCCCTGCACAGCCTGCGGGACTGTGAGCCAACGAAACCTGTTTTCTTTATAAATTACTGTCTCTGCTATTTATTTATAGCAGTGCAAGAACAGACTAATATAGTGTGTGGTATGTTTTGCGGAGAAATAGAATAAAAGTTAGCAGTGAGAAAAATTTTCAAGGTTCATTGCTTTAAAAGGATTCAAGAGAACACATTTTTGGGCCATGAGGGTTTTGATACCACCACCTAGGTAGGAATGGTCTCTGGTACAAAATCGAAGTTCAGTAAGTATTTGTTGAATGAATAAATAGTTCCAAAATTAGAATCCCACATTGTAGTGCTGTTCTTTCTATATCCAGCTAAGAAGGGCCCCTGGAGAAGTTTGCTTCCCTGGAGGTAAGCGTGATCCTACAGACATGGATGATGCAGCCACGGCTCTCCGGGAAGCCCAGGAGGAAGTGGGGCTGCGTCCTCATCAAGTGGAAGTTGTCTGCTGCCTGGTGCCATGTCTTATTGATGTAAGGGTTTCCTCAGACACTTGAGCGCCGTCCCCACCCCCAGGTGGATCTACTGTTCTCAGGATTCCACATTTTCCAAACATAACCCCAAAGAGTACTGTACATAAAGTCAAGAAACCAGGTTCTCCAATGGACATTGCCCCTCGTGAGCCAAGTGGCTGTGGGCAACCCCTTTTGCCTCTCTGGACCCCATCCAGAAATAAAAGGGTTGAACTCCCATCAGTGGATTTCAAACTGGGTGCCATAGAACCCTAGAGAGATGCTTCAGAATTATTAACATTCAGTTCACATTTATTTTTCTCCAGTATACATTGATTTTGAGAGTTCAGTTGAAAAAATAACACACACTCCAATGTGCTGGATACCAAACTTTAGCCCCTTGGAGACCACCAATGCATTACTTCTGCCATAAAGATACTCATTTTTCTACATACTATAGAATAAAGCCTCTCTGTAACACATTAATTGAATGAACCATGAGATCACTAGGCAAGCTATTTAAAAACTATTACTATTCATAACTGCATTTGTGTTGGATCAGGATTTCCTTGATAGTATAATATACATCAAAACATATTTAAAATATTTTTTAAAATGAATTTTGGAGCTGATATAACCAGATCTTATTTTCTTTTTATTTTATTTTTTATAGAGATGGGGGTCTCGCTTTGTTGATGAGGCTGGTCTCGAGCTCCTGTCCTCAAGCGATCCTCCCACCTCAGCCCCCCAAAGTGCTGGGATTACGGGTGTGAACCACTGTACTCAGCTTCAGATCTTACTTTCTATTGGTTCACCACAACCACCTCATTGTTGTACTAATTGACTTTAGAAGAGGTAAATATTGTATTAATAAGTATGATATTGGATAACAGCATGATTTTACCATATAAATGTTTTAATAAAACCTTTAATTTTAACTTTAGAATAGCAGTAGACTGATGGAAAAGTCGTGAAGATAGTACAGAAAATTCTTATATGCCATAGACCTAGTTTCCCCTATCATTGACATCTTACATCACTGCATACATTTGTCACAACAAAGAAACCAATGTCAGCATGTTACTATTAACTGAACTCCATGCTCTGTTTGCTTTTTACTAGTTTTTCTACTAGTGTCCTCCTTTCTGTCCTGGATCTCATCTAAGATACCATATTGTATTTTGTGGTCATGTCTCCTTAGTTCTCTGGTCTGTGATAGTTTCTCAGACTTTCTTATTCTCATGACCCTGACAGTTTTGAGATGTAGTGGCCAGGTGTTTTGTAGAATGTTCCCCAATTTTGGTTTGTCAGGTATTTTTCTCATCGTTAAGCTGGGGTCATAATTTGGGAACACCAGAGAGGTGAAATGCTCTCATCACACGATATCAGGGGTAGGTATAAACTCTTAATGTTTTATATATTGGGCTTTCGGGTAAGTTTTTATTTCAAAAGAACAGTCCCACTGTTGCCTAACAGTTAGAAAACCAGTGGGTTAGAACATCCTTTATGTGCCATTTGACTAAAGTCTTGGTGGTACAGTGTTTTGAAGATCAGTGATGCTGAGATAATGTCTGTCTTAATTGGGTCCTTTTAAAAAATAGAAAGGTCAGCTCCCAAGGGTGGTTTTGTTTGCAAGAAGCTAGTGGCCACTAAATAAATGTTTTCTAAGTGTGTGTGTATGAAACCGGGATAGAGACATGGAATTACACGAGAAATGTGTCAATTACTTTTCCATTTTGTTTTCTAATGGGAACTCTTTTCAGTTGATTTCTGCAAATCCACCAACATTTGGAGGATTTACTTTAGAAATCAATTAACAAATTTAGCTATACTGATTAAAAGTTTCCAAAATGAGACTAACTCCATTCCCGAAGTCCCCAGGTGCTACTGAGTTCCGCGTGTGGGTGGATAGAATTCAACAGCGTTAACAGGAAAATGTGTTTATGGGAGATTCCTGGGGGCCAGATACTCCTGGAACAGGAGATTTCTAAAATGGCATGATTGAGAGATTAAACAAAGGCTTTAAAGAAAGGTCTGCTGTGTTTGGAAGCACAAGGGAGGGTTACTTTGTTTTTTGACCCCTGCTAATTTTAAAAATGTATCACAAAATTGTCATTTATTAAAAATTACAAGCATCATCTAATCTATGTGGCTCTTAACCTGGAGTGATTTTTCCACCCTGGGGAATTTGGTAATGTCTGGAGATCATAGCTGGGAGGGTGCTGTTGGCTTTTCCCAAGTAATCTCGAGTCCAGTGATCTCGGCTCACAGCAACCTCCACCTCCCTAGTTCAAGCAGTTCTCCTGCCTCAGCCTCCAGAGTAGCTACCTATGTATGTACCTGCTACATAAGCCTTCCAGGCAGGCTGTGACACCACAGCCCCCACCCCAGTTTTCCCTTTTGCCAAACTTTTTTGTACTTCTTTTTGCAAAGGTCTCTGACATATACCCAGGAGTATGAGCAACATGTCTGTGGTTGAATCCAGTTTCTGCCAAGTATTTACAGGATGTGCCCTTGGGCAAGTTTCTTCACGTCTCTAATTGCAGTTGTTAAGGCTTCTTCAAGAGCAGATTGTTGTAAGGAATCAGAGGGTGTTGGGAACTAGACTAGGTGCCCATAAGTTGCGGTCACTAATGGTAGCAGCAACCACGAATATTTACTGAGTATGCATTGTTGGGGCTCTGTCCAGGCCCCTTCGTATCCCTCTTACAACTGCAAGGCTTCTGATAACTCACCGTTACCAGATAGGGGTCCCAATCCAGACCCTAAAGAGAGGGTTCTTGGATCTCACAGGGTGAGTCCATAAAGTGAAAGCAAGTTTATTAGAGAAGTAAAGAAACAAAAGAATGGCTATTCTATAACAGAGCAATAGCACGTGCTGCTGGTTGGCCATTATTATGGTTATTTCTTGATCATATGCTAAATAAGGGGTGGGTTATTCATGAGTTTTCCAGGAAAGGGGTGGGCAATTCCCAGAGCTGAGGGTTCCTCACCTTTTTAGACCATATAGGGTAACTTCCTGACATTGCCATGGCATTTGTAATCTGTCATGGCACTGGTGGGAGTGTCTTTTAACATTCTAATGCATTCTGATTAGCATATAATGAGCAGTGAGGATGACCAGAGGTTACTTTCGTTGCCATCTTGGTTTTGGCGGGTTTTGACAGCCTTCTTTACTGCAAGGTCTTTATGACCTGTATCTCAGTCTCGTCTGGTGACTAAGCATGCCCTAACCTCCTGGGAATGCAGCCCAGTAGGTCCAAGCCTTATCTTACCCAGCTCCTATTCAAGACGGAGTTGCTCTGGTTCCAACGTCTCTGACAACACTTGGCGGCTTTCTTCTGAATGCTGGCACCCTTGATACTGGAGCCACCTTGCCATGTGTCCTGCACAGAGTGCTGGGAGTGCCTGTGAAGTCACTTCTGGCCAGGCAGTCCTTAACTAGTGACTGACTGGGGCTAGGGAGCATGAAATCCCAGCTCCCTTGTCTCCATGTGGGATGAACTGCATATTAATTCACTCTCTAGAACACCCCATGGTGCCCTTGCCAGCCTTCTACCCTTATGAGTCTTGCTCCCCTCCTCCCCTTACCTGTCCCCGCTGGGAGCACTTTCTTAAAACATCACTTGCATCTGAGTCCTTATCTCAGAGTCCACCTGAAAAACTCCATATTCAGAGACTAAGCCTTTCCCCCACTGCCAGGTGTGGTGTTAGGTGCTGATAGAATGTTGCCTCTGCCCTTGGGTAACTTAATGACCCCAGATTTCCTGCCCAAGGACATATGAGGTCTATGTTCCTCTTGTCTCCTCCTGGTCCAGATGTTGACTTTCACCATTATTTTGGTTAATGGTCTGAGTTGTCTCTGTTCCTAAATTTGCTTTCCTGTCTTTAGCTGTCCCTCTGAGAACGTGCTGCAGGCTGGATAGGTCCCAGCCTCACCGTGTGTCTACCTCTCTGGCTTTTCCCACCCACTTTCTCTTGGGATGCTCCGGGAATTCCATTTCTTCTCACTTTCTAATACAAAGTCAGGCAGCTCTTACCAGATCCCACATCCTCACTCAGCCCCAGGCCTCCCTGTCAGGGTTTCCAGTATAACAAAACAGTCTTTCATTTGATAGCACTCATGTTCATTTGCTTTTTTGTTTTTATTTATTTATCTATTTTTATTTTTGAGACTGGGCCTCGTTCTGTCACCCAGGTTGGAGTGCAGTGGCATGATCTCGGCTCACTGCAACCTCCGCCTCCTGAGTTCAAGCAATTCTCCTGCCTTAGCCTCCCGAGTAGCTGGGATTACATGCACGCACCACCACACCTGGCTAATTTGTGTATTTTTAGTAGAGATGGGGTTTCATCATGTTGGCCAGGCTGGTCTCAAACTCCTGACCTCAGGTGATCTGCCCATCTCGACCTCCCAAAGTGCTGGGATTATAGGCGTGAGCCACCACACCTGACCACTCATGTTCATTTGCAAGCAGTTGTGGTTGTAAACAGAAATCCCTCTCCCATGTAATATAAACATGTGTATTATATACAATAATTCATAGTTATATATGACACATATTTATATGTACATATAAATTTTTTCCATAAACGGGAATATGTGATAACTACTATATCACTTTTCTGTTCATAAGTATAGCACATTTTTTTCTTTACTGAGAAGGAAAGGTGTCTATCCCATTCTTTTTAAAGGCTACATAGTATCCTATTTTATGGATATAAACCTAATTTATATAACTTAAATGCCTATAAAATGAAGAGTGATAACTTTAGAATTTTGGGCTGTTGTCAAAAGTAATGCTTCAGGTTTATACTTGTGTCTTTTCTTACCAGTAGGAATTTATCATACAGATACACAAATGCAATTCCCAGGTCAAAGGGAACACGTTTTTATGATACTGCCAAATTGCCATTCCAAAAGATTGTACTATGTTATGTTCATACAAGAAATCATTTTCAGAGTCATCTCATAGATGCCACTTCAGGTAGGGCAGGATGACTCCCATTTTAGGGGAAACATAAATTTACTTCCAGAGTAAGCTTTCTTCCCCTTCTCCCAGGTTTGGTGTATTTTCTTAGCTCACCTAGAAGTGGCATGATTTTAGTATTTGAAACAGTATCACTTCACTTCTTAATTTCTCTGTTTTGTTTTCTGCTTTTAGACAGATGCATTGATAACGCCATTTGTGGGTTTAATAGACCACAACTTCCAGGCCCAGCCGAATCCTGCTGAAGTTAAGGATGTATTCCTGGTGCCTCTGGCCTATTTCCTGCATCCACAGGTCCATGACCAGCATTACGTCACACGTCTCGGTCACCGTTTTATTAATCATATCTTTGAGTACACAAATCCTGAAGATGGTGTCACTTACCAGATCAAGGGAATAACGGCAAACCTTGCAGTGTTGGTGGCCTTTATCATTTTGGAAAAAAAACCCACCTTTGAGGTTCAATTTAATCTTAATGATGTATTATCATCCTCTGAAGAGTTATTCCTGAAGGTTCATAAAAAAGTTACAAGCAAGTTATGATTTACGAGACCAAGAGACAAAGAACTATCCACGAGGATTCTGTGTGTGCTTATCCATAGAACAACAATAACGCCAGCTGTTGGAATTTGACAGATGTGAATATTTTTTCTGCAGTATGTAGTTAGAGTCTTTGCCTCTTTTCCAGTTGCCTTCTATTGTCTGAAAAAGTAAAAGCCATTCAAAAATGAAAAATATGTTTATAGTGTTGCATATTTTTACCCAAAATATGTTAATAATATATTTCTTACACATATAAGAAAGAATATGTGGCACATAGTAGGCCCTTAATAAAGATTTGTTGAATATATGACCATGTAGCATTTACCTTATTTGTAGGAGGCAAATATATATATATATATTTTTTTTTTCTTTTTTCTTTTTTGAGACAGAGTCTCTCTCTGTCACCCAGGCTGGAGTGCAGTGGCACGATTTTGGCTCGGCTCACTGCAACCTCCCACTCCTGGGTTCAAGTGATTCTTCTGACTCAGCGTCCCAAGTAGCTGGGATCACTAGCTGCCACTATGCCTGGCTAATTTTTATATTTTTAGTAGAGAAAAGGTTTCGCCCTGTTGGCCAGGCTGTTCTCGAACTCCTGACCTCAGGTGCTCCACCCACCTTGGCCTCCGAAAGTGCTGGGATTATAGGTGTGAGCCACTGCATCCGGATGGCAATATATATATATATTTTTTTATCTGTTATTACATGTAACAGAAACTTCTGGCCATCCATCAAAACCTATCTTCCCTGTCCCCTATGGTGGTAGAGTTTAAGCTGGGTCCACAGCACTCCAGGTAGAAACAGCATTACTCCAGATCCCTTGCCATTCAAGTGAACTCTGGGACTTAGTTTAGGCCAATGAGTTTTGGGTGTAAGTTGACTTTCCAGGTCATCTCCAACTTAAGAGATAAGCCAGTCTCCCTAGAGTCCCTCTAGTTCTTTTATCCATGAGCTGCAACGTGGACTTGTCTGCAACCCAGCCTTGACCATACAAATGAGGACATTTCCTGGGGGAATGGCAGAATCAAAAGATGTCAGAGCTTAAATCAATGAATGACTCTGTGGAACAAAGTAACCTTCCAACCTGGGCTCTTCCCTTGGTACTGTTACATCAGAAAAGAATAAAATTCGGTGTCATCTCTCTGCCACTATAATTTGGAGTCACTTTTCTATAGCAGAGCTAACCAGTATGCTCCAACACCTGAAAATAGCTAGAATATTCGTCTGAACTTGAAGTGTTGTGAGCAGTTAGAAATGGGGATGATCTGACACTTTTTTTTTTAAATTTTTTTGTGATGGATTCTTGCTTCTTCACCCAGGCTGGAGTGCAGTGGCATGATCTCGGCTCACCGCAACCTCCACCTGCAATTGTCAAGCGATTCTCCTGCCTCAGCCTCCCAAGTATCTGGGATTACAAGCGCCCACCACCACGCCCAGCTAATTTTGTTTTATTTTTAGTAAAGATGGGGTTTCACTGTGTTGGTCAGGCTGGTCTCGAACTTTTGACCTCAGGTAATCTACCTGTTTCGGCTTCCCAAAGTGCTGGGATTACAGGCATGAGCCACCAAGCCCAACTGATCTGATACCTTACATGTAGGTTCTGGGAAACACATAGGATGCCCTCCCTGGGTGGGAGGTGGGGTTCGGCAATCACCATCCAGGGCAGCTGAAATTGAGGAATATGAGAGGCTTCTATGCCTACCAATTGGGAGGGATAATGATGTATGTTTAGAGATCATGAGGGCAGAAAAACAGTGATTTAGAGCATCAGCCCCAAATCAGAAGACAAAAAGACAGACATTCTGTAATGCACCTTGAGGTCTTCTACTTCTTATGTGGGCATCTCCATATATCATGCTTCAGAGTTAGCCTGGGTTGTTTTGTTTAATTATATGAATCATCCTTGAGGCCAGAGAGGCAAGTGAGTCAAGCAACATAACCAGAATTCTGTGACGGCAATTTCACATCTTACTGTTATTAGCTTTCTAGAGAACCAAACCATTTTTAATAAGACTTTGTTATAGTTGAAAATGTGATGCCCACACCAAACCTATCAATCAGCCATGCAGCTATCCATTGCTGCTGAGTTTTTCTTTTCTGAGTTGGCAAAGCCAAATACCTGATTGGCTGCTTTATACCCATATATGTTTAAGCGTCAGAAATCTGGCTCCAACCATGAAAGCAGATGTTGGGTACGCTTCCCCATTAACATTCTGTAACCAACCCTGCGTGAACAGGCCTGAACTATTTCCGAACCATTACAGAAGCATTTGCAAATGTGTATTTACAATCTGACAGCAATGTAATTGCCGGGTAGATGGTTGACCTCTCTGACAGTGCAGAAAGCCTCCCTGCCAAACTGTCTGTTTATGTGAACTCTCCCAGACCTGCCCAGTCCAGCTGAGGTCAATCTGAGCACACTCAGGGCCACACAATTTATGGGGCAGGATGCTTAGCAAAGGAGATATTGCCCCTTCCTTCTTAGTGGTGTATTTTATAGTATCCATGTTCAGAGTCCTAGTTAAATATATCTGGCTCGAATAAAATAAGTTATTGACAAGGTACAGATCTCAGGGAATCTCTGAAGCCACTGAATAAATCAGCTTCAAGAAGGACAGGGGTGCGCAGTGGTTCATGCCTGTAATCCCACCATTCGGGGAGGCTGAGGCGGGTGGATCACTTGAGGTCAGGAGCTCAAGACCAGCATGGCCAGAATGGTGAAATCCATCTCCACCAAAAACACAAAATTAGCCAGGTGTGCTGGTGCATGCCTGTAATCCCAGGTATTTGGGAGGCTGAGGCAGAACTGCTTGAACCTGGGAGGCAGAGGTTGCAGTGAGCCGAGATTGTGGCACTGTATTCCAGTCTAGGCGACAGAGTGAGACTGTGTCAAAAAAAAAAAAAAAAAAAAAAAGCAGTAAGGAACAAACACAGCTAACTACCTCAAAGCCAGAAGGATGTGAACCTTCTCTTTTATATCGTATCATTATTGCAACAAGAAACATCTTGAATTGATTGACACAGACATAGAAAAACAAGAGACACTCAGTGCCTCAGTCCCTAATTCTATCTGGCCTAACATGGGTCACCTGGAAGGTTTCCAGGAACCCGAAAATATATTCAAAAGCAAGGGTAAGTGGGGGCTAGATGGACATCCCAAAACATCTAATCTCTCCAGTCCCTAGATTTTATAAATTCTCTACATTCTGCCATCCAGACCGCTCAACTCTGTCTTCTTTGCAACCCTGCAATCTTGGTAAAGAAGTGGTTGAGATGGCTGGGTGCTCACACCTAATCCCAGCACTTTGGGAGGCCAAAGCTGGTGGATCACAAGGTCAAGAGATCGAGACCATCCTGGCCTACATGGTGAAACCCCATCTCTACTAAAAATACAAAATCTAGCCGGTCGTGGTGGCACACGCCTGTAGTCCCAGCTACTTGGGAGGCTGAGGCAGGAGAATCACTTGAACTCGGGAGGCAGAGGTTGCAGTGAGCCAAGATCACGCCACTGCACCCCAGCCTGGTGATAGAGTGAGACTCCGTCTCAAAAAAAAAAAAAAAAAAAGTGGTTAAGAGTGCTGAGTCTGGAATTGGGATGCCTAGCTTTGAATCTCATCTCCAGTGTCAGCCTATTCTGTGACCTTGAGCAAGTTATTCCTTCTCTGTAGATCTCAGTTTCCTCTTCTGTAATGTAGGAGAAATAAATTCTGTTTTAGGCGTGTCAGGGGATTAAATGAGTTAACACATGTGACCTCTTTACTTAAAGCATACCAAAGCGCTCAGAACAGTGCCTGGGAAATAAGTGCCCAGTTACCTGTTGGCTACTAATTATGGTACCATTATAACTATAACATTATATCATAACAGTAACAATAATCATTGTGATTTCTCTAGTTCAGAGTTAGACAAACATTTATTAAGCACCTATTACGTACGCAGTCTTTCATTTTATTTCATTAACCCTCACATCAACTCTTTGTAGTGAGTACATGCTATTGTTATTCCTATTTTTAGATAGGAAACCTTGAAGATCAGCGATGCTACATATTTGCTCATTGTCACACAGTTCATAAATGGCAAAGCCAACATCCAAACCCACATGCCTGAGTTTCATACCCCATGCTCTTTCTGCTGTAACCACATACTTGAAGATGAAGCAAGAATAGGTTAAATTTATATCTCCCTTGAGTCACCACATGTGAAAGGGAAAGCAATTCAAAGTGAATAAACTAGAGAGAGTGCAGGATTTATTTTTGCCTTCATCATGTCCTCTAGCTTATTCAGCTGGTGCTGCACACAGTGAAATGAGTAATTAGTCAGGATGATTTTAAATAAAATGGAACATACCAATTAATAAATGAAAGTGCTGGCATACTTGCTAATTTAACAACTCATTCATGGTGCCAGCTTTCCAGTTAAAGGACTGAGAAGAGAAAACGTTCCTCCACCTCTTCGACAAGATGATTAGATATTATCCAACTGTTTATTCTTGTTAACAGTTGCTTTCTTATTTGAGAATAGCATGAAGTTTTGTTAAAATTGCTAGAGTGATCATCTCCCAGTCCACTTGTCTCAGATGTGACATACTTGGTGTGGTTCCTATGGGACCTGTGCGTATACTCAATTAAGATTTATTATTATTATTTATTTATTTTATTGAGATGGAGTTTGCTCTGTTGTCCAGGCTGGAGTGCAGTGGCTTGCTGCTGGCTCACTGCAACCTCCACCTCCTGGGTTCAAGCAATTCTCCTGCCTCAGCCTCCTGAGTAGCTGGGATTACAGGTGTGTGCCATGATGCCCGGCTAATTTTTGTATTTTTACTAGAGGCGGGGTTTCGCCATGTTGGCCAGGCTGGTCTCAAACTTCTGACCTCAAGTGATCCTCCATCTCAGCCTCCCAAAGTACTGGTATTACAGGAGTGAGCCACCGCACCCAGCCTCAGTTAAGAATTTTTTATTGCCCCCTCATCCCCACTCAGCCACCTCCCTAGGCCTTGCCACATTGAACACAACTCAGACTTTATGAGCCAATTTCTCTATGCACACTTCTTCAACTACCCCTTACTTTATATTATTAGCATCGACACCACTTCGTTGCATTCCTTTGCATATCTGTATAATACATGTGTATCTTTGTGTTTATTCCAGCCCTAACCCTGGAAGGGACAGAACCACGAACCATAAGACCCCTCAGTCTGAGTTCCCCTATCCTCAGACGAATGGACCAAGCATCAATAGCCAACCCATTGGTGACCCCTAATTCAATGGCCTTTGACTTGTATGATCTGCTTAAATACCTGTGCTAAAGTCC